CTCTCTCTCTCTCTCTCTCTCTCTCTCTCTCTCTCTCTCTCTCTCTCCTTCTCCTTCTTTTTCGTAGCGCTGGGATCAAACCCAGGGCCACCCACATGCTAGGCAAGCGCTGTACCACTGAACCATATCCCCAGCCCTTTGTATCAGCACTCTTGTCTTAGGGTCTGCTTCTGGGCAAAGTCAAACCAGGATGATGCATGCAAACACAGACAATGTGTGAACAAGAACTTCCTTTCCATGGTGTCTTTATTGGAGATCTGTGGCGGCTGGCAGGATCATTAAAGGTGGCTCCCTCTTGAATCTCTGGAAGGGCCTCCTGGTAGTTCTTAATTTTCAGTCTAGAAAAGACAGGAGAGTATGATTCTTGGGGCTGTTTGTAGCTGGGTCTGCTCTCCCCTTGGGATCTTGGACATGGGAGAGGATCAGGGTTCAAAGTGAGGGAGTGAATATAAAACTGATTGCAGGCCAGGATGGAAAGATCAACAGCTTAATGAAATAGAGTGGTAGTTATACAAGTAGCATGATTGTCCAGATGTGTGTTGTTGTTGTTGTTGTTTGTTTGTTTGTTTGTTTTGTGCTACTAAGGATTGAACCTAGGGCCTTGAGCATGCTAGGCAAACATTCTACAATTGTGCTATATCCCCATTCCTTTTCATTTTTATTTTGAGATAGTCTGGCTAAATTGCTGCGGTTGGCCTTGAATCTTGGATCCTCCTGCCTTAGCCTCCCCAGTAACTGGTATTACAGGTATGCACCACTACACCTGGCTAGTGATTAAGTGTTTTAGGGAATGAGGTCAGGGACTGGGATGAGGTCTTCAGGCAGAGATTGTGCTGGGCCTAGATTGCTCCAGTTCTCACCAGATTTCAGGGGCTGAACAAGCTTTCCTAGGGCTCAGATTATCTGGGCAACAGACAACTGGAGACTGGACAGAGGTTGTGAAGACAAAGGAGTTTTGGGTAGAAAGCCAGAAGCTAGCTTTTGCTGAGGCTGGCTTTGAATTCACCATCCTTCTGCCTCAGCCTCCTGAGCTGTTGGGATTACAGGCCTGAGCAGTAGAGTCTGCCTTCTGGGATGAGTTTGTGCAGGCAGACAGGTTAGGACTTGGATTTAGGTCATAAACACCTAGCTGAGGCTGCGAGGGCAGAGGGACGCTGGCAGGGTCAGGGCCCAGGCAATGGTGGGAGGGCAGAGATATTGGGGCCTAGGCAAAGAACAAAGTGGCTGGCTCAGGGTTTGGGCTGAGATTGTACAGGTAGAAGTTCCAGGACAGGGGATGTTGCCAGCAGGGACTGAAGACTGGGCTTTGCTTGCCAGAATAGGGTTGCAAATAAGATCCGAGCCTGGTTCGGTCTGTAGAGGCAGGGGATGACAGACAGGGGTCAGAGGCCACTGAGCTGTCTGTGCACGCAGAAGGGCGGCCATCTGCAGGAGTGCAGGCGGCGCAGACTTACCTCGGTGAAGTGCGGCCAGGTGCGCAGCAGACCAAAGAGCGCGTCACCCGGGCAGTCAGTGGCCACGAGCTGGCGGTGGCCGAGCAGCTTGTAGTCTGGTTGCAGGAGTCCAGCGCGTGACGCGCAACTCGGCAGCACTTCGCGCACCATGCGTAGCGCGGCCTCGGTGGGCAGTGTCGCCGTGTAGTTGCCCACGAAGGCCACGCCGAAACCACGGGAGTTGTGGCCGAGCGTGTGCGCGCCCACCCAGTGCCAGCCGCGGCCCTCGTACACGTAGCCTTCGGAGCCCACCACAAAACTTCAGAGGGGAAGGGGAAGGAGGCATCATGTGGCGTGAGCCAGGCTCTGCCCCTCATCTGAACCCTCCCCGAGATTTTGCCCCAGGGACAGGGGCCATCTGACCACAAGACCTGCCCAGACACACTGCCCCTAATCTATGCGGCTCAGTGCCACTCCCACACCAAGTGCCACCAGGGAAACTGACTTGCTCTCTGGATCCCCCTCTCAGCACTGGCCGCGCTTCTCCACTCTCTTCCCCTAGCCTCAAGTCCAGCTCTTGACCCATTCGCAGCTTTATTCTGGCTCGGCCTTCACTGCCCCATTCCAAACCCAGACACTACCACGGGGCCCATCCTTCGCCCAGGTTCTGCTTCCTGGCCTAGTTCTTTCCCCTCATCCAGGCAGCCCACTGTTTAGGTGTTTCTGACCTCTGTTAAGGTCCCCGTCCTTAGTCTAGACCACGCCCCCATTCTGGCTTGGCCCCACCCACCGCAAACTCCTCCTCCACCCTGTCAGGCTCCGCCCACTCACTCTATCCTGGATCTACAGCTCCGCCCCTGGTCTGGAGGGGAAGGAGGAGCCTGGGGAAGGGTCAGCTCACCTGTAACCGATGTCATCCCAGCCTCGCGTGTCCTGGTGGAAACGCTGCATGGAGCGCATGTTGGCTGAGCATCCAGTGAAGGTGGTGCAGGGTAGCGCTGGCACGTACGTGTGATGCACGTATAAGAACCCAAGCGGCAGCTGCAATGGCTTCGGGCGGCCCCGGTAAGGTGCCGCTTCCCAGCGACATCGGGGATGGATGGCTGGGCATCCTGTGGGCAAAGGAGTCCAACGTGGTGTCAGCAAGCGTTTCCTGCCTGTCGCCTGCAGCCTCGTTAAAGTGCACATATGGACCAGCCCTCCAGGATCTTCCCAGATTCAGTAAGAGTCACTGGGATCTGTTTTAAATCTAACAGCATTCCGGTCTTGTAGGGATACCCACTGTTTCCCATCAACTTCAGAATAAAGCTCAAGAATTTTAGCTCAGACCTCAAGGTCGGATGCTTTCTCCAGATGGCCTTGCCCTGAACCCTAGGGAGGGTTAGCCATGCTGACGGGGATGGGGGGAATCTCAACCCATTTACTGAGCTCCTACTGTGTGCTACTTTCTTTTTTTTTTTTTCTTTTTTCTTTCTTTCTTTTTCTTTTTTTTTTTTTTTTCAGTACCAGGGATTGAAACGAGGGGCCCTTAACCACTGAGCCACATTCTTAGCCCCAATTTTTTTTTTTTTTTTTTTTTTTTTAATGTTTGGAGACAGGGTCTCCATAAGTTGCTCAGGGCCTAAGTTGCTGAGGCTGGCTTTGAACTCAAAAATCCTCCTGCCTCAGTCTCCCAAGACACTGGGATAACAGGAGTGCATCACCATGCCCGGCATGTGCTACTTCTTAACCAACCAGCAAATCTAAGAGGTTGCAATGGCTTATCAGACTTTATTTAAGAATATAGGTTCAGAGAAGTGAAGTATCTCACCTAAAGGTGCACAGGAAAAACTGGGTGAAGTCCCACTTGAACTTCTATGCATTTGCTGAACCCATTTCCTGGAATGCCCTTGCTACTGTTTGAATCTGGAATGTCCCCAAAGGCCTATGTATTAACAGCCTTGTCATCAGCTTGGTGATATTTAGAGGTGGGGCCTAATGGGATTAAGTTAAATCATTGGGGGCCTGCTCTCCAAGGGGATAATGAGAACCTTGTCCCTAGTCTCTCTTTGCTTATCAGCTGCCATGAGGAGAGAAGCTTCGTCTGTCACTTGATACTTCTATCATTATGAACTGCTTTGCTACAGACCAGAAACAATGGGTTAACCCACCATGCATTGAAACCTCCAAAACTGTAAGCCAAAATAAACCATTCTTGTTTTAAGTTTCTTTATCTCAAGTGTTTGTTTTTTCAGTAACAGAAAGTATCAGAGTCCTCTTCCTTTTTTAAAAAAATCAGATGAACTCCTATTCATCCTTTGAAGCCCAACTTTAGCATTTCCTCACCAGTCCTGGCCCCCAACCCAGAGCCCTTATCATTGCCTCTAGACTCCCTTAGTCCCAGATCCCCCTGACCATGGGGCTGGGAGTGTCTGTATCTGTGAGGAGGGTCACTAGGGTAGGGGAACTTCTCACCCAAGAAGGCCTCAGTGAACTCCTTGGCAGCATAGGTGGCCACCTGGGCCAGCTGTTCTTGGCTCACGTTTTGCAGCTGGGTGCGTGCCGGCTTCAGTCTCTGTAGCAGGACAAGGGTCCCCCACACCTGCTGGGCCAAGGTGGAGGGTGAAGTGAGAGCTGCCCCATTCTGCCGTCGGAAGTTGCTGCGGAAGCCTGGGTCTCCAGCCACCCCTGCTCCATAGTATTGGCTCAGCAGGTGACTGAGGGGTGGCCGCGGCTCAGGGATTCGGCTCAGGTAGTCTCCAAGGAGGGCACCATCCAGTGCCCCATTGAGAAAGGCCATGGTGAGCATTGATGCCTTGGGGTCCAGCAGCGTGAAGATCTGGGGGTCAGAGAGCTGGTCCCAACAGCCCTCTGTCCCCAGGCCTGGAAGGCTCTGGGTCTGGGGAGGCTGGAGGAAAGTCAGGCCTAGATCTGCTGCGAGGGTGACTGCCAGGATTCGGTCCACAGTGGTGGGGGACTTGGCTTTGTCATTTGGTAAGGTGGCTTCAGTATCTGAAGAGGCAGCTCCAGCATCTGCAGAGGTTCCCTCTGGAGGAGCATCCCTGTGTCCTGGAGGGGTGGCTTCAGCATCCCAAGGGGTGGCTTGGCTGTCCAAGGGCAAGTTGACAACCCTGCGCCCCTGCAGTCCAGCTTCCAGCCCCGCCAGCAAAGGCTTCACAGCCACTGTGGAACCATCGGGGGCCAGCACCACCCCGTGTTCCTGCCCTCCCCGTATCTCGTGTTGGGCCACCATCTTCATCAGGCCTTGAAGCTCCGGACTCAGTGGGTGGGCATCCAGTTCAGCAGCTTTGTGACTTGGTGTCTCAAGCAGGAAGTGGTGAAGGGGATTGGAGGCACCAGAGTCCTGGGCTGACAGCAGCCGTGCAGAGGCAGTTAGACTGACTTCCGTCACTGGCGCCTTCTGCTCCAGCTCAGCCAGGACCTGGATGACAGAATCCATGACCAGGGGCAAGGAGGCTGTGGGAGGAGAGAGTGCATCAGCTCAGCCATCCAGCCTCACCTGTCCCTGAGGGTCCCCTGCTGTTCCATGTCTTCCCAATGCCCATGCTAGTGCTCCATCTGATGATAACAGTGTGGCTCCCAGCCCTGTCTCTATGTAGAGGAGGAAACTGAGGCTTGGAGACTATTGCCTGCTGGTTGAGGGGCTTGGACTCTGAGCATGGTTGAGCTATGGCAAAATTATAAGCAAGAGAGAGATACAGCCCGGCTGGCATCCTAAGATTATTCCTTTGGCTTCCATGTGATGATTGATTCTTAGGGTGCTAGAATACAGAAGGGGGACAGTGAAGAGGTGAGTATTGAAGGTGGTTGATGGCAGGGTGGTGGCAGTGCAATATACAGGACCCAGGAGTGTCCCCATATATCTAGAGGGAAAGATGGACAGTCTCGGATAACAGATTGAAGTTAGGGAATTTTTAAGGGAAGGGTATCTTCCAAGATGCCCAAGGGAGGAACAGGTGGATATGTGCCTTTTTTGGGTGGGTAAACTTGGAAACTAGAAGTGCTAGGTGACCTGACCCAGAGCTGGGTTAGGAGTGGGTTGTTGGGTAATCGACAGTGTTTATTAAACATTTACCAGAACCACGCGAGGTGACTTATGTAACTCATTTAATCTTCACAAGGCTATGAGATAGGTCTTATTAGCTCCCTTTTACAGATGAGGTGCCTGAAGGGTAGAGAAGGTAAGTTAACTACCTAAGGTCACAGAGCTAGGAAGTGGCAGAGGTAGGATTTGAAACCAGCAAGTTCACCCCATACCCAGGGCCTGTACATGCTAGGAAAGCACTCAAATACTGAGCTCTACCCCAGCTCCAAACCCAGAGTTTTAATCCCCACGCTCTGCTGTCTAGAATCCTGGATGTTGTCCAGATAGTCCATTCTGTAATTCCTCTGTAATTTTGTTCTAGTTTGATGCCTTGGGGACCAGCAGCATGACCCCAAATCCTAGTTTTATGATTCTCTCCTCCAGGAAGCTTTTCCTAGTTTTTGCTTCCCAGTTCCCAGGCCTTTCTCCCTATCCCTATCTTAACTTGTGGGTTGGGAACATCTAAGTGGCCAGATTGAAGGATCCTTGAGATCCAGAGCTTCCTGTGCTCTTTGGCTTCACCCCATGCAGGGGCCGATACAGAAAGGGCCTCCCTATACTTCTTCAGAGCTGAGAGTCCTGGCCGTAGGTCTGTGCTTCTGACTTACCTGTTCCTGGCTTAGACCACACCAGAAATGCAAGCAGGATCCAGAGGACACCCTGGGCTGTCATCTTGGGGCTCCAGCTTCCAGGGGACATACCCAGTTGACCTCAGCAAAGTACTCGGCAGTGCTGGAAGGTGATGGGCATGGACAACCAAGCAGAGCCTTTGGCCTCTGTCAAAGTCCAGTGGTGAATGACACGGCTGTCCCCTTGCAGAGCTGGAGCGGGAGACAGTGGGGACACGGGAGCAGAGTGTTCTGGATCAAAGTCATCTGGGCCCCAAGGGCTCTTCCTTTCCTGTCCCTCCCAAGCTGATATTAAGGGTCAGTAAGCCAGGCCCCTACCAAGAGAGGCCTGAAGACCAGGTTGTTCTGACTCCTGCAAACTCTGCCCAATGTTGAGAGAGATCAGTGGAGGCCAATCCAGCAAGCCCTGCCCACTTCCAGCAATGACAGCTCTGAGGCTGCTGCTGGCCACAGAGGGACTCTCAGTTGCCTGCTAAAACTGGCTGTGCTGGGAGAGTGGGTTTTTCTAACTAGGTTTTTGTCACTGTGACAAAATACTGAGATCATCAACTAATGGGGAATAAAGGTTTATTTTGGATCTCTGTTTTGGAGGGTGTAGTCCGTGGTCAGTTGTCCAGAGCAGTGAGGACCGCTCTGGGGCCTGTGGCCAGGCAGCCCATCATGGAAGGAGCACTTGGCAGAGGGAGTTGCCCACCTCGTGGCAGCTTGGAAGCAAAAAGAGAGACAGAAGGTGCCAGGGACCCCGTATTCCACAGGGTATGCTCTATGACCCTGATCTCCTCTCACTAGGTTCCCCCTCTTAGAGGCCCCACCATTTCCCAGTAGTGCCACAGGCTGGGAACCAAGGCTTCTATACATGGGTTTTGGGGGGATGCTTTAGATACAAACTAGAGCAAGCACCGAGAAGCCCAGGCTGGCCTTGACCCCCTGCTCCAAGTCTGGGCCCAGGCAAAGGATGGGTGCAGGAACTGAGAATTATTTTACCCGAGGCTTGCTCCAAGCCCCTGGGGATCATGGTGATGTTAACTCTTACCCAGTTCAGCCCCTGATCCCAAGACACCCGATGTAGCTGAGAGCTGGTTTTGTTTGAGGAGCTAGTTTATGGGCTTACCTGGATTGACAGTGCAGGGTCCTTCTTCTTCCCTAGGTGCTCATGGCTGTGTCCTACCAAATCAGCTCATCTCCCATTTATTCTGCCCTTAGATGGGGGCGGGCTTGATGAGGTTGAACTGCTGCATATGTAATTAAATTGCTTCCCACCCCAAAACCTGCCCTAGGAGTTTCTAGGAATCCCACCAGGCTGGGGATTTAGCATGAGGCAGGCCCTGGGCGGGCCTGGAAAAGCCCAGACTGACCCAGGCCTGGAATTCCCCAGGGAGTCACCCCTGGGATCTGCAGTTATCAGTTAACCTCTTTCTGGGGACGCAGCATCACTCAGCACAAAGCTGGGCAGACAGTGGGGAGGCTAAGGGATTGAGTGAAGGGCGTCCACTCCCCAGGGAAGTCAGAAGCAATATCCCCCTCCAAGCCTCATGTTTCAAGGATTTGGGGGATGGGAGGGCTCTGCCTGGTACAGCCAAATGAAGATGTGGGCTGCAAATCACCCTGGGACAGTACTAGGGTAAGACATCTTCCTTGGGTGCAGTTGAAAACCTCAGTCATCAAGATGAATTAATTTTTAAGATGATTTTTTCCATTACTAAGGATTGAACCCAGGGGTGCTTTACCACTGAGTTATACCCCAAACCCTTTTTATTTTTTATTTTGAGAGAAGGTCCCTCTCATTGCCCAGACTGGTCTCGAACTAGCCATCCACTTGCCTCAGCCTCCGGAGCCGCTGGGTGTACAGGCCTGTGCCTCTGTGCTCAGCAAGACTAATCATTTTTTAAAGAGAAGTTTTAGGTTCATAGCAAAATGGTGCAGAAGGCACAGAGGTTTCCCCTAACCCCCTCCCACACATGCACAACCTCCCCCACTGTCAACATCTCCCACCAGAGTGGGACATCTGCTACAGTCGGTGACTAATGTGACACTTGCCATCACCCAAAGTCCATAGTCTACATCAGGGTTTGCACTTGGTGTTGTGACTTCTATGAAATTGGACAAACCTAATGACACATATGACATCATAATGTCAATCTGAGTGCTTCACTGACCTAAAAATCCCTAGTACTCCATTTATTCATTTTCCCCTCCCCCTAAGCCACGTGAGCCAATAATTATTTTCTTTTCCCCATGCTTTTTTGGACTGGGGATGTGGCTCAGTGATTATACATCTCTGGGTTCAATCCCTGGTACCAAAACAAGCAAACAAATCAACAACCCCACAAAAAGAATCTAACCCCCAATTTTGCCTTTTACAGAACATCACACAGTTGGAATCATTCAGCCCGTAGCCGTTTCAGACTGGCTTCTTTAACCGAGTCATTTGCATTTAAGGTTCCTGCTTGTCTTTCCGTGACTCTACAGCTCACTTTATTTTCTTTCCCTTTTTAAGTGCTGAATAATATTCCATCATTCGGATGTACCACTGTCTGTTCACTTACTGAAGGGATTTTTGGTTGCTTTCAAGCACTGGCAATAATGAACGAGGTTGCTATAAACATCGGTGTGCACAAAGTGTACACAAAATTGTACTTAAATTTTTAACTCCTCGGAGTGGAACAGGGAGTGATTACTGGATCGCATAAGAGGATGTTTACTTCTGCAAGAAACTGCCAAGGTGTCTTCCAAAGAAATTTCCAGGCTGCCTCATTTTGCAGCAGTGAATGGGAGTTCCTCTTGATCGCCATCCGCACCAGCATTCAGTGTTCTGGATTTTGGCCCTTCTAATAGGTATGTATAGTATCTCATTTTTAAAATTTGCATTTCCCAGATGACACTATGTGGGGCATCTTTCCATATGCATATATATATATATATATATATATATATATATATATATATATATATATATATATATTTGGAGAGGGGGGGGTCTGCCCAGACCTTTGGCCTATTTTTAAATCAGGTTGCTTATTTATTTATTTATTTTTATTGTGAAGGTTCAAGAGCCCTTGGTGTATTTTGGATCCCAGTCCCGTTAGGTCGGTTTGAGGTGGCTAAGGAACAAAGCACCAGGTAACCCGCAACACCTGTCAATCAACAGAGTCTCCTGATCAATCCTGGAAGGGCAAAGATCTCACCAAGATCCCCCAACCAACCCCAGGAGGACAAGGACCTCTAAAAAACTCCCTTTGCTGTCCCAAACCTTCCCTTTCTGTCCTAGGCCCAATAAAATTCCAATCCGGCTGAGCCTGGGTACGACTCTCCTGGACCCGCTCTATCGGTCTGGAGGGTCTCGCCTGGGAATTAATCTCAAAGAAGCCTTGTTCCGCAGCTGTTAATCTGCCTCCTTTTGGTCACCGGTGCCTGACCTTACAAGTCCTTTATCATATTTGTCTTTTGCTGGTATTTTCTCCCTGTCTGTGACTTTTCTTCTCATTTTCTTGAGAAAAATAAATTCTGAATGCAATGTCTTTAAAGATCAAAGTGAATGCAAAGATTCAATGATAAATAAAATATTCAGATTTTAAATAAAACAGGATCAGTTACAGTTCTGTGCTGAGATAAATTGGAACCAGAGACAAAAGGAAAAATCAGGAATTCTGATTTCATCTTTCAGCTCACTTATCTTGTGCTAGTTCTGGCCGTATGGCCACCAGGCTTGGGAACCCAGGAGGCCGAGGGGCTGGCTCTTACATGAGCTCTCCTCATTGTGTCCACTGAATTTGGGAATAATCTTGATTCAGCATCAAGAACTCTGGGTTTGCTCCTCTGTCTCCCCACTGACAGGGGTTGTGGGGGGCCCTGATGGTTTTATCTAACCACCCATTTATCCCCATTTTATCCATTAAGGAAGCTCAGAAAGGTTATGTAAGTTGCCAAAGGTCACACAGTTAGAACCCAGGGACGGGGAGGGCTCCAAACCTGACACTTGTTTTCATTATTCCCTGAGTCTTCCAGCCCAGGGGTGATCATGGCCAGAGTAATTATGAAGGGGAGAAGTTTGCAGATTGGCCTCAGAGCAAATTCAGAAATTCATGGGCCAGCCAGACAGGCAGCCCTAATTTCCTTTTTTTTTTTTTTTTTTTGGTACCAGGGATTGAACTCAGGACACTCGACCACTGAGCCACATCCCCAGCCCTATTTTGTATTTTATCTAGAGACAGGGCCTCACTGAGTTACTTAGCACCTCGCTTTTGCAGGGGCTGGATTTGAACTTGTCAACCTCCTGTCTTAACCTCCTGAGAAGCTGGGATTACAGACGTGCGCCACTGCGTTTGGATAGCCTTAATCTCCTTTTAAAACTTGAACTGTGGGTATACCATAGTGGTAGAGCCCTTCCCTAGCAAGCAGAAGGTTCTGGGTTCCATCCTCAGCACTGAAAAAAGAGAATTGGAGAAGCTGCACTGGATCTGAGCCAAGGACATGTCCCAGGCAGTGGCCATTTCTCTTAGGGTCTATCTGGGGTTTGTGACTTTCTGGAGGAGAATCCCCTCCAGAAGACTCCATGACGGATTGCCTCTGGGCTCCCTGGCCTGAGGTGCCTCGCTTTGATCCAGGCCGGGGTCTTTCAGGGCTTTGAGTCTCTGTGTAGATCTGTCTTCCCCAGAGTGGGAGATGCTGAGTCTTTTGGGGGTACCCAGAATTACCCAACACAGACTCAGGACCAAGTGGGTGTCCAGGAGGATTTGTTGAGTAAAATCTGATGGAGGAAGATTGTGAGGTCAGTTTGGGGCTGGGCTCTGAAACACACGCACAGGTACACACACATCCAAGCACCCACACACCAAGGCACCTGGGCAGGACTGGGCCTGGGTGGCAGCAGAAAGACTGGGGATCCCATGATGAGTCACCCTCTACCCCAGGTTTCCCTCTCATCTCTGAGGTCCACCTTCTAGGAGAGATCAAGACCCCTCAGGTTGCAGGCAGATCAGGGATCTCTTGAGAATAACCACTGGCTAGGGAGTGGGGCCAGCTCCTATGGAGATTGCATTGGTG